TGCCCAGGCTGGGAAGGCTTTGAAAGCCAGTCTGGCCTTGCTTCCTGAGACGTGGCAGGGCCTCAAGGGCAGTGCCTGGGGGTGGCCCGGGTCCCCTGGGCTATGACACTTCCCTTTGGCCCCAGGTGATGAAGGTCCGTGGGCCCTCCAATTTCCTCCAAACAAGGTGCTTCTCACTCTAGACCTCAGGCTTCTCTGGAGGCTGCAAACCGGGTTTCTCGAACCTCTGGGATGGAGGCTGGGAAGTGGGGGCCTTCCCCACCGGTCTGTCTTTCTGGGACTGGTCGCCATCCAAGTGACTCCTGTGGCTCAGCCTTTGAGCCTGGGTGGGGCTCAGGGGCAGTCCGAGACAGCAGGGCTCGGGAACACTGGTCAGTGTCGGGAACAGCCTGGCTCTGCCTCAGGGCCACCTTGGGAACCTTGGACGGCTGCGGCAGTCAGGGAGCACTGTGCAGTCACCTTGGATGGGAGCTGAAGCCTAGATGCCACTGCGGAGACCTCGGTGACTGGTCTGTGAGGTGGCCATGCCCGGGTCTGTGGGAGTGGGAGGTGGGCCGCTGTTTCTATGCAGTGACCTCTTCACATGCAGTGACCTCTTCCCTCTTTCCAAGAAGCCCCGAAGACTGCCGGCTGGCTTGTGAGGTGACAAACCTGGGCAGGGGTGGGGACACTGCAGCTCAGGTGCCCTGTGACTGGGCACCGCCCTCTTTCCGCCAGGACCTCCTGCAGAACTCCCCCAGCTCCATGTCTGCGGTCTCCAGCACCCCACAAGGCGCCGTGCTCCCAGCCTCCGCACTCCAGCAGGGCAGCATCGCCATGACAACCGTCAACTCACAAGTCGTGTCAGGTCTGTGCAGAGACAGGTGCTAGGGTGGCGGGCACTCCCGGGAGGAGGGAGGCAGTCCTGAGGGGACATCGGGATGGTGCCCTGCCCAGGCCGGCTCTGGAAGCCTTTGGCACAGAGACCTGATGGAGCCTGGAGCAGTCTGGGTCCAACTCCCATGAGCCCCCAGACCCAGTGAGGCCGCACCTTCCAAGCTCTTCCACCAGGCTGCATTCTGGTCACCAGCGCGCCCAACCACCCACGCCTGCCCTGCCATTGGGGGTGCACCTGAGGGCTCCTGGGTAGGGGTCCTGCCTGTCCTCACTACCACCCGCCACAGCGGGACCCAAAACTGATTATCTCCTCAGGTGGGGCCTTGTACCAGCCAGTTACCATGGTAACCTCCCAGGGTCAGGTGGTCACCCAAGCAATCCCCCAAGGAGCCATCCAGATCCAGAACACACAGGTGAGTGCGTGTGTGTAAGAATGCAGGTATGTGCACAGGTGAGTGTGTGCATGAGTGTGTGCGCTGGTGTCTGTGTGCATGTGTAAGAGCACAGGTAGGTGCACAAATGAGTGTGCAGGTGTGCTCAGGTGTGTGTGTAACAGTGCAGGTATGTGCACAGGTGAGTGTGTGCATGAGTGTGTGTAGGTGTGCACAGGTGTCTGCGTGCATGTAAGAGCTCAGGTAGGTACACAGGTGAGTGAGTGCAAGACTGCAGGTGTGCACAGGTGTCTGTGTGCATGTGTGTAAGAGTGCAGGTATGTGCACAGGTGAGTGTGTGCAGGAGTATGTGCAAGTGTGCTCAGGTGTCTGTGTGTGTGTATGTGTAAGAGCGCAGGTAGGTGCACAGGTGAGTGTGTGCAGGAGTGTGTGCAGGTGTGTGCAGGGAGATCCCAGCTGCCCACCCCCCGAGCCACATGCCCAGCTCCAGTGCACCAGGAGGCACCATCAGCCCACTTCACAGGCCACCAGCCAGCCCAGGCTCTGAGCTCCTGGGGTCTCGCACCTCGGCTTACTCTGAGCTTCCCATTCCTGACCCAGCAGCCATGCCCAAGGAAGAGGGGTCCGGGGCCAGAGCCTGTACCCAACCCTCACTCTGCCATGGGGTAGGCAGGCTGATAGCAACCAGGGCCCCACGGGCCTACGGGCAGCTGAGGTCCACCTGGGGAGAGTGGGCGGGAGGGCGCTTTCGAGGTGCGGAGTCCCCAGAGTCCCATGGGGAGGCCAAGAGCTCTTCTCTCCCCTCCCGCCTCTCCTCGCGCCCACCCAGCTCCCCTCTCCCCTCTCCCCTCCCAGGGCCTGAAGGATGAGTGGGGAGGGGGTTGCAGTCTGAGCTTGCTGTCACCATGGCAATGGGGCTGCTGAGGCCGGTCTTTCTCACCCTGAAGGTTAACCTTGACCTCAGCTCCCTCCTGGACAGTGAGGATAAGAAATCCAAGAGCAAGCGGGGAGTCCTGCCCAAGCAGGCCACCAACATCATGCGCTCCTGGCTGTTCCAGCACCTCATGGTGAGTGCCAGGCTGGGCGAGTGGCCCACGTGGGGGCCAGAGCACGGGACCCAGGCCTCAGGGAGTGAGGGGCCTGAGGCACGCGACACCGGAACTCACCACATGCCCAGGGGCGCCGAGCGCGGGCGGGGTGTGCAGCGCTTCATGGCAGAGGGACTGTCCTTCCCCAGAGAGGCACGGGGAGATTTTCTACCTGCCCTGCGAGTCCTTGCCACTGCAGGGGATGGGGGCGTGCGTCTACCCGTCTGACTCAGAGCCAGGGCACCTGGCCTGCGGGCGGCCCACGCAGGAGGCCTGGCCTCTGACCCAGGGCACCGCAGTGGCCACTCTGCAAAGTGGCCCCATGGCCGGTGTCGGACACAGGCCTCAGGCCAAAGAGCAGCTGGTGTCACCTCTCCCCAGTGTCAAGGGCTGTGACAATAAGCAATGGCTGTGTGTGCACGTGTGTGTGTGCACGTGTGTGTGTGCACGTGTGCACACGTGGATCTGGGAGTAGAGGCTGTGACCACAGGTGGGGCCCCCGGCCACCTGCAGCCCCTGGCCTGGCAGATCAGTCCGCACACATTCAGACGGGGACGAGAACACGTTGGCCCGAGAACGGGGACAGAGCCAGGAGTCGGGACAGGTCTCTCTTCGGAGCGAGGAAGATCAGTGCGCCCTGGGAGGCCACAGCCAGCAGTCAGCCCTGGGTGTGAAGTGGGGGCTCCCCAGAACCTTCAGACCAGGCCTGACAGTGCTCCCCAGCACCTAGAGGCAACAGAGGCCGAGCAGGGTCTCCGGACCTGCATCTGAAGTGTGGCCTGAGTGCCAGCAGGTAGGGGTGCCGCCCGGGGCACCCCCGCCAAGCAGTGTCTCCCCAGGTGTCCTCCCAGCTCCAGGGCCGGGGCTGCCCGACCTCGGCTGAGTAAGGGCCTCGCCGACAGCCAGGGCAGACCCAGTCTCCAGCCTCCAGGGACAGCTCTGACTTGGTGGCCAAAGGTGGGGACGCCCAGGCTCTCAAACAGGGAGCCAGCCAAGGGCCCCGAAGGACCTGGGGAGCCCCGAGCCGGTGTCCCTGCTGTGGCTGCTCACCCGTCCATGTGAGGAGGCCTCCCTGACGAAGGCTGGGCCCTCTGTGCACTGACCAGTCGGCCACAGTGGGCACAACGTGGGCCTGAGGCTGACGCACTCACACACGCATGGCATCCTGCCGAAGGGCATAGGGTGGGAGGGCCTCGGCCCCGGTAAGCAGTGCCCTGGCCACTGGCCTTCGGAGAGCGTGACGAGGCAGGACCCTGCAGCCTCCCAGGCTCCGTCCTCACCTCCCGCCCGTGAATTTTGGAGACTGACATGAACACGCTGACAGGGGTCTTCAAGACCAGAGAAGACAGGTGTGCTGAGGAAACGGTGCATTTCCGGTTTTCTTCCGCACCAAAATAAGCTTGGATGGCACTGGCTCCCTACTCAGGGTTAAGGTGCCGGCCCAACCAGGCCACTCGCGGCTCCAGTCCTGGCCCTCCGCTGAGCACAGCCCTGGCCTGGGGACGTGGCGAGTTTCTTGCCCCACACCCCAGGTGTCAGTCTGGCCTGTGACACTGCCCCCCCGTTGCCCCATGCCTCCTGTCCTCCTATGTCCCTTGCCTTGCCAGCCTGGCGCGTCATCTGGGCAGGGCCTGCGGTGTCTGCGGGCGGCCTCTGAGCTGCAGGCCTTGCTCTGGAGCCCTGCCTGAGTCACAAAGCCCAGGGCACGGGTACCTTTCCTGAGTGTATCCTTCCAGCTGCAGAGTGAGGGCGGGGCACGGGGCCGTGGCAGGCCCCTCACAGTGCCCTTCCAGAATCTCTGTCGCCTGGGAGGAACCTCAGGGATCAGCCAACACCCTGCCCTCGCCAGCAGCCCGCAAGCTCCTCCCTCCTCTCAGGGCTGCCTGTCCAGGCTTGTCACAAGTGCAGTCAGACGCAGGGACCCAGCTTCTCTCAGTTAGCACTTCTGAGGCTTCGGCCCTCCAGTATGGCCAAGAGACACTCCTTGTCCAGACACCCTGGGCTTGTCTGCTCTCAGCCGAGGGACATTGGCATGGCTTCCACCAGTGGCTTCTGGGTAATGCCACCATGGCCTTCCCATACTGCCAGAACCAGCGTCTTTCTACCCTCGGGACTGTGGGGTCCACAGCCTTCCTGCCCACAGCCCTGCAGCCCCTCATGCTGGGCTCCTCTGGTGCAGGACAGACCTGCTGTATGCCCGGGTGCCACTGCCCCCTGCATGGCCACTGCAGAAGACCAGGCAGCTGCCGCGCCCTGGTGCTGCACTCACTGTTGCCATCCAGGAGTCACGCAGCTTCGCCCCTGCCCAAGGCCCCTCTGGGTGCCCCAACTCTGTACCTGACCCAGGGACTACGCTGTTTCTCTCAGCAGCGAGAACTAAGAATAGGTGGCAGCCCCGAGGCCGGGCTGTGCCATCCCCTGCCCACCCAGGGAGCTGCGCCTCACTAACCTCGCGTTCCTGGGCAGGAAATGGAGGCACGGCGGGCACAGTGCAAGACGCCGCACTCTGCCGGGCTGACCGCACACACAGGTTGCCGGTTCTCACTGGAGACCCTGAGCGCAGCAGGCCCACCAGTGTCCATGGTCCAGGCTGGTTGGGGAGGAGAGATACGGGGTCAGGAACCGCGCTCAGTGCTGTCTCTCTCTCTCTGTCTCTGTCTCTCTCTCATGGGGTAAATGAACTTAAAGTGGGTGGGCACATCTGGCTTGCGGGTGGGTGTGAGGCCTTGGTCTTGGCCCGGGAGCGCCCCAGGGGCCCCGCCACCCTGAAACCCACCCTCCCTGGGCCAGTGTGGCAGAAGTCTGAGCGTCTGGGAGCTGGAGGAGGGAGGGGAGGAGGCTCTTAGGAAGCCCAAAGCTGGCCTGGCTATCCGAGGGCCTCCTCCGCCACCTCTTTATCCTCGTGCTCTCTGGGGTGCAGCGTCAGGCCTCCCTGCTGACCCGTCCGGCCCAAGCCCAGCAGCTGCCATGGAAAGGCTCCCAGGCCTGTGTACCCACGGCCGGCCTGGGCGGGCGCGACAGGGCTTTCCCACTCCCACCCGGCAGGGGCGGCGTTAGCAGGGCGCAGCGCTGGTGAGAGAAGAGGCGGCTCGCCCTTTCTGGCCCGACTTTGAGAAGGGGCACAGAAGGGACAGGAGGGCAGCTCCAAGCACTGGTGGGAACCTCCCCAGGCCCCTGCCCCTTCGAGAGCCGAATGAAAACTTTCCTTGCCGTTCCGGGAGTCCACCCTCAAATCAACCCCAGGGCCCAGGGCCAGAGATTCAGGGTGCCCACCACAGGCTCCTCAGGACCTGAGCTGTGAGAACAGGGCCACCCTGAGTCCCACCCAGGTCTGGCCGTCCACACCCCGCCCTGAGCCCCACCTACGTCCAAACATCCACACTCCACTCTGAGTCCCCTGGAGGTCCAGGAGTCCACCACCCTGAGTCTACGCCCAGCACTCAGTCCCGCTAGGTCTTGGCATCCACACCCACCACCCTCAGGGTCCTGCCGGTGTCAGCGCGTCCTGCCAGGACTCAGTACTGGGTTGGAGGAGCAAGGCCTCTGGACGACAGCTCGGAGTGACTGGGATGCCACCGTGACCCTTTGTTCGTTACTTTGTCTCTTAGTGACACACAGACACCCCTCAGGCACCCCGCCGGGTCCCCACGCCATGCTCAGCGTCTCAGCCAGCCTGGAGCACAGGCTCATGCTGCCCAGGGTGTCCCGGGGGCCCAGAATGCGGACCAAGACTTCCTCACGTGGGAGCCGTTGCATACGTACCGTCCCTCCCCTGGGCTCGGGGTGGCTCCTGCTGGCCGGGGACAACACCTGCTCCGCTGTGATCCGGCCCCGAGTCCTCAACCCCGCGTCGGCCTGACCCACCTCCCCAGCTGCTGCCCACAGGGCACCTGAGCTTCCCACCAGCTGGTGGGGCGGTCGCCCTCCCCAGCAGGGCCACCTTCTGAGCCAGACACGGCAGGGCCCCCA